TTCCCTCGTGACCAATACGGCATGCGAAGCTTGTGGGAGTTCGACTATTGAGTCGTCGCGCTCTCCTGTACAGTCTCGCCTGGAGTGACCTTAGCTGTCCAGCTATTCTTGGACGTTTAGCTGCCAGGCCCCAGCACCCAACTCCATGAAGTAGGTGACCTCTGGCCACAGTGTCGAAGAATTCAAGAGCAACGTCGGCAATGAGACCCCAAGTGCTGCAGACATGTCTTTTGATAGAGTGGTAGGACGCCTCGATGGTCCCAATGAGGGAGGCAACATGCTGGCTCCACTCGAATTCTCTGTCTAATTGAATCCCCAGTCATTTGACGCAGCCCTCTGTGATTGTCGAATCGGCCACGCTGACGGTTACGCAAATGGCATCGACAGCAGTTTGATTCAAACTGGAGGAGCCCCACCTTCAAACTGTTTGAATGTGGGGCTCCTCCACGTAGCGAAACAGGATAACTCCGTCGTCCGCATAGATGACGGTGACCCAAGAGGACAGAGCCGCGTCAAAGGTAAGCATGAAGGCATTGAAGACCCACGGTGACGTGACACCCCCTTGGGCGATGCCTCTGGTGAGCCGACGAGTACAGGAGTCTGTGCCGTGGTGAACCGTAACGGTTCTGTCGCTCAAGTAGTCACCTAATAGTGCCAGATAGTCTGGACCGAGACCTTTGTCCAGTAACACTTGCAGAGAGGACCATGTACTACACTTGTCAAGAGCGCCTTCAATGTCTACGAAAAGAGCGCCGACACTGAAACCCTGCCTCCACGCTTCTATGATGGTCCATCATTGATGGAACTTTCAAGCTGGCCAACAGCATTATCGCAGCTCTTTCCTGGTCTGTAGGCATGAAGGTTAAGTGGATAGGATAGCTCCGCGCTGACCCGACGAAACAAGAGCCTGTCAAAAACCCTTGCGAGCCCGGTGTTGACAGTGATCGGCCTCCAGGCCTTGGGGTGCCACGCCGGCCGGTCGCCCCTCTTCGGCAACGTGATTACGTAGCCCTTCCTCAGAATCGCGGGGATCCGACGATGACGAAAGAAGGAGGAGAAGAGGGAACAGAAGTGATTTTGGCGTCTAACGCCAACCTCCAAATGGGTAGGCTTAACCATTTAAGCGTGCTACCCGCCAACACAACACTCCAAGAAACTATTCTCTCTCAAGCAACATGGTAAAACAAAAATTTTCCTTCCGCCCGCTTGAATCTGCAGAAAGAAAATATTGTTCACATCGTAGTTGGAGCAGAATCACTACACAGGTGCAACGGTTGCACTGCAACCTGTAACCTCATTGATTTTATCCGATAATCTGCTACCAACATTAAATTCTTCATGCTCGGAAGCGCGAGTTTGTTACGCTTTCCGAAGTACGAAACTACCCAATCTGGTGCCACCTATACGAAGTGTGCAGGAGCCGGTGATGGAATCCTGTTACTAGGGGGAAGAGAAAAAGCACTAGATTCCTCTCTAGATCTCCCTCTGCGGACAGAACCGACAGAGGGGGATAACTTAGAACCAGAACGTGATTCCATAGACTCCTGAGGCTTAACGCAATGTACTAGAGCGTTGAGGGTATAACAGACCTATTGGTGTTAGGGTTAGTTACGAAAGAGATAGTTCCCGATACTATCTAGAAGATAGTCCTCACAGATCACTCAAAGATCTCTCAAAGATCACTCAAAAGGCTCTCTAAAAGCTCAGAGAAGGCTTCACGAAGAAGCCGTGACGCCCAGCCGTTTCACCCGTTTCAACTAGTGAATTTCGGGCGAGCGAGATTCACAACTTGCGCCGCCGCGAAGCCGGCACAGAAGTTCAATGGGGCGAGCGCCATCTCCCCCATTGCGTTGTGCAGTCGTTGAACTTGGTCCCTTACAGAACCCTCACTTCCAAGGGAAGAATCTCGCTCGCACACTTTTCACTTTACCGCCGATTGGATGGTACCCCTCAGTGTACATTGTTACGTACTGGCTCTGGGGCTTGATGTCCACTTTACCCTCAGTATCCAACGTTGCCAGACCACACTCTAGCAAACAGTTGTCGACGATGTGGATATGATGGGCAAGATCGACGCGACTGCCAAGGGTGGGGAGGGTTGCTTTGCCGAACGCCGCTGTCGCCATGTTAACGCCAGGTATTCTGCTCGCTTGAGGGTGGTGGACATTTACTGAACCCAACAAGGCAGAACTTGAGCCAAGATGGCTACGGTACCAATCTCTACAATATGGATCGTGCTACAATGAATCTCTATGCCAATCTCTATGACGCAAACCGTCTGCGGCAGACGCACAAACAACGAAGGTAGCAGGCCTCGGCAGAACACTATAAACTTAAAGGACTAAAAAGTTGCCCTCAGCATTCCTCTAACAGTACACGGAAGAGGAATGTAAGCAGTATTGATCATCAATACTCGTCTGATAAGTGTCGACTGATATAAAATGTTAAGTGACAGCTATAACAGATTCGTGAGGCCTTGAGAGATCATCATAACAATTACCTTGGAGAGTTAGCTTTCCGGAGACAGGTCAAATCGTTGACGGCAAGCCTCGAAGATCATATGACCGTTTTGCGGGTAGGCATTGTAGCGACAGTGAAGACCCATATGCAACTCACGAGCGAGGTCGTCGAGGCACTGCCTCGACTGGCAGTCGTTATCAGCAATACCCCACGAACTGGTCTGGAGCTTATAGGATTCCCGCAGAGCAGTACTTCGATTAGTGGTTCCGGATATAGAGATCATGTAGTAGAATTCGCAACCATAACATATGTAATGATAAAACGTATTTTCCATTTTAATATCGGCCACCAAACGCTCCTTAGTCAATTCCTTAACGGTCATGGTGCAGAAAAGCGAGTAGGCTTTATTATGGCCTTTGTACTTCTGGTAGGTCTCCATATAGGAACCTGCTTGAACCAGTGGTACACCATAGGCCAACAGTTGGATCAACACGATAGAAGATATGATCATTATAATTTGCTCAGATGTCTCCGATGACGAATGGAGGTGACTCAGGGAGTGGTGACGATTATGGGTAGAGGGGAGTTGCAAAAATCCTGACGAGACCAAAATCCATTTCTGTTGAGTATGCGGCAGATTGCCGTCGGCAGCGATAAAAATCAACAAATCTCGTCGATGGAAGAACTGAGATCGCTTTGAGGAATGCGAGCCACTCCGAGCGCGTTCCTCGTCGTCCAGCACAATCGCTGCGATAAGTCTTTGATGACAGAATGCACGAGAGGAGCTAGTCGACCTCATCAAGAAGCAGACGGCGCCTAGTGAAATACTATGTCGAGAGCACCTACATCAACGCGCTTTTGAATCTGGAAACCGTGTTGACCTACCAGAATGACGTGAAGCTTTTGGCACATCGAGCCTATACAAGCTGAGGTGCAGCAGCTGCACGGCAGCTCAAACCAGTTACGGGACAGCCTTCATACGATGTCTTCGCGGTCACTCATGCCATTGTTGAGATATTGGGCCAAGAGCTGCAGGAGGCCCAGCTTATCGTGTCGGAATCCCGAAATAGAACACCTGTACTTATCGTTGTGCGCTTCATTCAAGCGTGCCAGCGGAGCGACTGATGTCATATTTGTGGCAAAGGGATCTGCTACATTAAAGGGACCCTTCAGAAGGGCTTGATGCAGTAACCTCTAACTGTATCATTTTGTGATGCTTTGTAACGCTAGTCGCGCAGTAGGCTAGGAACATTCCAGTCAAACTGTGATATCTGGTGTCCCCGGAGCATTGTGCGGCTGTCTCTATTTCGATGGCTATCGGGTAGATTTCGTGCGCGGATGTTGTCACGATTTGGTCTTTTAGAGTGTCTCAATGCGATGCAACTCAACTCGACGAGATAACATGGCAAGAGGACTTCCAAAGATTAATATTCTCTTCTTCTCTCTCTCTTCAGTCGTAGACCACAAAAATCTGATCTGCCTCGGAAATAGGAATACAGGATCCACAATCTGCCGACGCATACCACTAACAGTGGTTGATAATATCAGCTTGATATGTGGATGACTACGTGAAATTTTACCTGGTAAAATTTACCACACTTGTTTTCATTTACTCCTGTGTTGAAAATCTCGCCCATGATATCGGGGGGGGGGGGTTTGACTAAGTTAGACTGTGACAAATCCTCAGCTGGAGTTTCGGTTGAAACGATCCTCGAGAATTTCGTGGACGACTCGGAGTCGTCGACTCCTGAGTTATGCATACAAGACTCCTATCGAAATTAGATTTCTTCAATTAACTCCGACACACAGCGAAATCAGAGTACATGAATCATATCTAAGAGTCCATAATATAACTCGTCGAAAATAGCAGGTGATAAGCCTTTCTAATTGACAAATCAACATCATTGCTTCGGATCTACATTGGGAGGGGAAAAATGACGTCGAGACTAAAAAACAGATTGCGTTCTTGATACAATCAATGAAAGGAGAGATAAAATGAAGCCTATGTCCGATCTGACTCGAGCAGGGTGGCTGAAGGGTGAGGAAGAATCATTCTTCCCTTCCCCAATAATTCCCGTTTTAGTTCCCGGGAATAATGACTGGTCAAAAAGGGGAATAATGGACCTTATTTGGGGAATTATTGTACAAAATCGTCTTTTTCTCTAACATCACCCTAAAAGAAGGTCCGAAAAACATTCATAGGCGTCTAAGACGCCGCGTCTCAGGAGACCTTCTCGGCCGTAAGGCCGAAAAAAATACGAGCTTTCTCGCATCCTGTCACTTTTTTTGATATCGAACGTCAGGCGAGCGCGTGCAGATGTTCGCAATTCGCAGTGCAAAACAGCCAGTACTGGACGCCAGTTACGTTGCGTTCATACCTCACTGGTCCCAGTACCTCATCGTGGTGTGGAGGTTACTGGATGGTGAATTCTAACAAGATCGAAACTGGGATCAAGCTGCCACCACTTACATGCTACCCCACCGAGGAAGAAATTCTCACCTCGGGTTCGTCACTGTCGTACTCTGCATTCTGCTCTAGGATTTCTGGATTTCTCTGAGAGCGCCGTTATGCTGGATGGCTTCGTCCGCATTGGAAGAAGCGTTCTTAGTGCATTAACACACTGGGACCCAAGACAGCTGATAGTATGAGCCAGGCTGGTTGAATGCCGTAGTAATTTTTGGCAGTATTTGCTAGTGGCATTGTTGTGAGAGGGCGATCGGCCTCTGGCCCACAATAAGATTTAAATCAGCTTGAATTGAATGGAATTGAATCGAATTGAATTGCGTTCATGGGAACAGAAGTCTCAGTTGTTGTGTTGTGTGTGTACTTTCGGTTCACCCGGTCCTCTTATGAAGACACACCGCCAGTTCTTCACTGGCTCTCCATCATCGTCGTTGGCAAGGTACTCCATTATGTGCTGGTTTGGGTCTAGGTTCTCAGGATTGCACCTTTGAGGCATGATGAGACTCTCATCATGAGAGTCACAATAGCTGAGGCCGATCGAACAAAGATGATCAAATCATCGTGAGGTGATCAGGAACGAAGCCGACATAAGAGAGTTCTACACATGAGCATTGTCATGAGCGCGCGCCCGATCGATCGACGTCGTCGTTTATACACAACAGGTGAGTCAGGCACATATTCGTGGTCTTTTGGAGCCCACTAGTTACAACAACAACCTCAGAATCCATTAAGGAACTACAGGTTCATCGTTGTTCGGCTTTTATTTTACATAATTCCCGAAAATGCAGGTATTATTCCCCAAAATAATTCCTTAATTCCCTTCCCTGGGAATATTCCCGGGAATAATAGGTATAATTCCCCACTTTCAGCCACCCTGGACTCGAGAAGTGCCAAAACGAGTTTGGACTGGCTGATTTGGTTAGGCTGGGTAGTAGAGTTAGTACGACTGGGAACCGAATCGTCCAGAATAACCTCTCACAGGGTGAGGTGAAATTTACCACTAACAACTTTCTTCGCATTACATAATTATAGAGACACTCTTGCGGTGACATTTACTTGCTCGTCAACTGTCACGTTGTTACAACGTGATGCACTAGTGAAATAGACCAAACATCCACCTTTAACGAAGTTGCCACGAGCCAGGCGACGAATTTCAAGGACAGCATAATCAATAGGCTCGGGGCTTAGCCTAAGACTCTTAGGTCACGAACAGATCTGGTAGAATCCAGTCCGGGTTCGGCAGCATTGATGATGACGGGTACCAACGTATTTCACATACATATGGACGGCTAATGGAGTGCCCACAAGTAAGATCAACGTTTTCAAACCGAACTGCTGTCTTCTCGCCTGGTGGTGGTATCGGGTAGTCTCCCTTTACCAAAGGAGCGAACAACAGTAATTCGTCCTTGGCAAAATCAATCATGTAGAAACCCAAGGAACTAAGAATGAACCAAGCCGCCATCTCTCCGTTGTCTTCATCTCCTGACTATACATCAGGGGATCCATCAGGGGTGTATAGTTCCGTCAGGACTTTTTCCATGTACTTTGTCTGCAACGTGGAACCACTGAACGACGACTGCAACACCCAAAACGTGATGAGACGGCTGGTTACTTCCTCTCGTTCTTTCATAAGTAGCTGGCATAGCTACATACAGTTGGTTCTAGTAGAAGCGTTCTACCATCTGACTAGTATACACCCTCGTCGGCAGCCGATCGTATCTTGCGTTCTGCGAGTACGTTGTCTCTTATCCCTGATCTGCAACAAATTGTGACCGTATTGACCAAATTTTTCACTTGTGAGTCCTAACTCGTTCTCTTCGTGAATTACACCACGGTTATCACTCGTGTAAACTGGACAGTATCCAGTTGACACACCTGTTCACTAAAGTGCCTTTCAAAGTGCTCACAGGCTCTGAGTGCACAGAGTGCTTTCCGCCCACCATACTTCGTGATGGGGAAGTCCACGTTGAAAGGCGCATAGAAGCGATACTGACTTGCCAAAGCCTCAGTAAAGAATTCAGCTGACCGCGATGATGGGTCGAACGCATGCTCTCAATGTTGAAGGACATCTCCAGGGCATTTTGAGCTCTGCTATAGAGGACACCAGCATCAAAATGGTGTCCTAATTTGAGCGCTGCTGCTACAATTACAGAGTCGGCCTCGGCGAAATTAAGGATTCTCGATACGACCTCGGACACATTTGATTGAACAGGAATGTATGGTAATGATTTCATATTCACCAAGGAGTCTCGGGAACAGCATAGTTCGATAGAAATTGGTGTAAAAAGTTCTCAAAACTTTACTGTTTTGCTGTACTGTATCATAAGTAACCAGACTTAGGCGTGTTTGCCATACGTATTCAGCTTCCCTCACGAAAGTATCAAAGTTCTTATACAGAGGTAACTTCCTCGCCAAATTCACTTGAGCTTGTTCATCAGAAATAAAATAAGTAGCGATATTATCGCTACTTCTTTTACGTCCCCATGCGACTCGTCTACAATTTACGTCTTCACCGTGTGTTGGAGATCTAGCTAAACATGAGGGTCTTTTGACGCACGATTATATCCATGTAGCTTGAAAATACCGAAAAAAAGCTTCATCATAAGACGCCGCGCAACAGTGATCGTTCTCCACTATCGGATATGAATCGTGACTGGTCCCCGGGCCGTTCAGACCTAGAGTTACTGAACTTCCTCCTCTTGGCGAGAGTTTTCAACAAGATTTCAGTTGGTTTGCCTCGGCTCATGGAATGCGAGGTAGCAGCTGATCTCCAACTGGCCTCAGTAGAATGCTAAACCAAATGCCACAGGTCATTCTATCATTGCATTAAGCCTCTTCGTTTCCACTCGTATTGAGCGACTAAGGCGATTGCCATTCAGAAGCGACTGCCTCGTCTCTTCCGAAGCGGTGCACAATGCTCAAGGTTCGGAAGGGAGTCCCTTCAAGGGACATCGGCTTCTACCACTAAAAGCCACTAATCAGCTCTGAGAAGAGATCGGGGAGGAGAGAACAAGCACTATTCTACTTAACTCGTCAAAGGCTAAGCCTGAGATTTCACGTTTTTTGTCAGAAGCGGGTGTTGGTACAGACTGACTCGTGCAGTGTTGTGAACACTTATCACTGGCTGGGCAACTCAAGATTTTTCTTTCAAAAAGGACTGCTTGGGGACAGGTCGGGTCTGCCATGATCGTGCCATTTCGACGGCTAGATGGTGTTTTTCGTATGTTATTGGCGATACTCAGGGCATGTAATGAACAGTCTTCGAGAGAGCGCCTCGACCGAAATCACTGGCCCATCCTTCCCATTTTGTACATGATAGAAGGTTTTTACGATTTTTGTATCAAAAATATCCGTGGGGACAGATTGGAGTGACTGAAATCCAGCAGCGCCTCAACTGCAAGTTCCCCGGGAATGAGTCAAACTCCTTGCAAGAAAGCTCCTCGTAACGTGCAAGCCACCAACGAGGCACCATCCATGCAAGAAGTCTACGACTGGAGCACATGTGATTGGTACGCGACCGACGACTATGGTCCGGACTACCGGAGTTTTTCGCCCGTGTCGGCATCATGTCCGGTGAGAGAGGAGAGACTGAAGGATAATTCGATAGGCGAAATCGGGGAGAGTGCAGTAGATGGGACTAGGTCGGTGTCATCTTGACCAGCTCAGAACGAGGCCTATGATATTCCAAGGTGTTTTTCAACGCCATTTCAGGCTTACCACATTCCCCATAGCTACAGTTAGTGTAGTACAGACTGTACTCAGTACAGTGTACTGTGAAAGGACTACACCAGCGAATGCCCGTCTTGTGTTTCTTTCTACATGGTCTTGCAATGCTGTTGGACTCCTTCTTTGTTCTGGCTTCGCTGCCTTGCTGTAACGAGCTCGATCTTATGGTCAGTCTGTCACGGACAGCTGCCCCACGGCATGGCTCGACATCGGGAAGAGTCTTCCCGGAAGACCAGTTTTCTGTTTCTTCATTCAACCGAGCTACAGATACTTGTGCAAACACAGAGTGTCTGAGAAACTTTCCACATGCTGACCAAAGCTGGCGAGAAGGTGCATCAGTAGGGTTACTAGAAGACCGTGTATATTGGAATTAGATGAGAACACCATAATACACTCCGACAAGCAGCCACACCAGTGGTTCAATATTAGACTCTTCGCACTGCCTACGGACAATATGAATAATATGTTTAATACATAGAGAATCAGTGAAGTTGATTATAGTATAATCGGGTTATATCAGGTACCAGGATATATCATCATAGAATAATCATTATATTGATAGTTACTCATATACTGATCTTTTAGTTGCACCAAATGAGCGAGAATAGTAGAGTAGCTGGCAGCATCTCAGATGCTGCATCTGCATATAGGATAAGGCCGACCACAGACGAGCCAATCTAGAGATGGTCAGCGATCCAACCTGGCAAGGTGTCACTCGCTCATGACGGTCCTGTAATGGTGATAGTAACTGTAGGAATCCCTGGATATCGAGAAGAGCCACACGAGCTTTATTAGCCAGACCTAACTCTGCGAAAGAAAGACGAATAAGAACCTGTACTCAGGATCGAACAGATCGACCTTTGACGATGCCACAAGGAAAAGCCAACTTTCAGAGTATTTTTCGTATAGAAGCATCACCTTGCTCAGTATCAATCAGTAGTCGTTCATCAAAATGTTCAAGCAAGTCAACACGATCATTCAATGGACTCAAACTCAAAGCGACTTGACTCAAAGTCGCTTTTTTGGAACTAGGCAAAATGGGTGAGTGAACTCAGACATCACCAGCGAAAGCAAATCCGCAGAAATACCACGGCAACGGCTGTAAGCGTCAACAGACGTCATGAGCACGAGACAAGTCTGGCAGCCAGACTTTGGCTAACTAGTCTACGGACTTATAGGACAATGTTGTACAAGTTGTAACTCACAACTTGTAACTTACAAGTTGTAAGTGATGATCGTCGTCATTGAAAAGTGTCCGATGGAAACACCAGGTAATAGACACTGTCTTCCCCACTAGCAGTTTCCCACTAATCTCGATCAACGAGCTCTCGCCAATAACACAGTCGAAAATGGTACAGCGGATAACAACAGCAGAGAAAAGCAACGCTAAGTGAGCGCAACAACATTCGATAAGTGTCACAAAGAATGGGCGTCTGCCATGTGAGGGCTGAAAGAACAACCAACTGAGGTTCGGTTACCGAACAACAGACAGCACCTAGAAAAACTAAGGGAGTTGCACGCGTCGAGCATTGTGAAATACCTTCCCCCAAAAAGTAGAAGGTCGTTGTCGATATATATATTGAATAGCAGTTTGATTCAAACTGTTTGAATGTGGGGCTCCTCCACGTAGCGAAACAGAATAACTCCGTCGTCCGCATAGATGACGGTGACCCAAGAGGACAGAGCCGCATCAAAGGTAAGCATGAAGGCATTGGAGACCCACGGTGACGTGACAGTGTCACGGTGACACCCCCTTGAGCGATGCCTCTGGTGAGCCTACGAGTACAGGAGTCTGTGCCGTGGTGAACCGTAACAGTTCTGTCGCTCAAGTAGTCACCTAATAGTGCCAGATAGTCTGGACCGAGACCTTTGTCCAGTAACACTTGCAGAGAGGACCATGTACTACACTTGTCAAGAGCGCCTTCAATGTCTACGAAAAGAGCGCCGACACTGAAACCCTGCCTCCACGCTTCTCTGATGGAGCTCTCAAGCTGGCCAACAGCAGTATCGCAGCTCTTTCCTCGTCTGTAGGCATGAAGGTTAGGTGGATAGGATAGCTCCGCGCTGACCCGACGAAACAAGAGCCTGTCAAAAACCCTTGCGAGCCCGGTGTTGGCAGTGATCGGCCTCCAGGCCTTGGGGTCCCACGCCGGCCGGTCGCCCGGGGCGACTCGCCCTTCTTCGGCAACGTGATTACGTAGCCCTTCCTCAAAATCGAGGGATCCGGCGATGACGAAAGAAGGAGGAGAAGAGGGAACAGAAGTGATTTTGGCGTCTAACGCCAACCTCCAAATGGGTAGGTTAAGCCTACTAGGCTTAACCATTTAAGCGTGCTACCCGCCAACACAACACTCCAAGAAACTATTCTCTCTCAAGCAACATGGTAAAACAAAAATTGTTCCTTTCGCACGCTTGAACCTGCAGAAAGAAAATATTGTTCACATCGTAGTTGGAGCAGAATCACTACACAGGTGCAACCTGTAACCTCATTGATTTTATCCGATAATCTGCTACCAACATTAAATTCTTCATGCTCGGAAGTGCGAGTTTGTTGCGCTTTCGAAACTACCCAATCTGGTGCCACCTAATGCGGCGAGCGCCATTTCCCCCATTGCGTTGTGCAGTCGTTGAACTTGGTCCCTTACAGAACCCTCACTTCCAAGGGAAGAATCTCGCTCGCACACTTTTCACTTTACCGCCGATTGGCTTTTCTTGGTACCCCTCAGTGTACTTATCTGTGTAGTAGGCTACTACTAGTAGCATATGGAACTGAATTCCGAAGCCTCGAGCTCCAGGCAGGCGGAGGGTGAGGGTAATATGAGGCTGTAAAGCGCTGAGTTATCGTTATTAAAGTTCGATCAAAGCTAAGATTTCGAGATTAGAAGAAGTCGGCAGCCTTCTTCCCACAACACGACTGGTTAATATGCGAGACATTGCTACGGGGGACATCGCTACATTGAGTACTGGCTCTGGGGCTTGATGTTCACTTTACCCTCAGTATCCAACGTTGCCAGACCACACTCTAGCAAACAGTTGTCGACGATGTGGATATGATGGGCAAGATCGACGCGACTGCCAAGGGTGGGGAGGGTTGCTTTGCCGAACGCCGCTGTCGCCATGTTAACGCCAGGTATTCTGCTCGCTTGAGGGTGGTGGACATTTACTGAACCCAACAAGGCAGAACTTGAGCCAAGATGGCTACGGTACCAATCTCTACAATATGGATCGTGCTACAATGAATCTGATACCACAGCTGTATACATGTGCAAGTTGGCACGCAGACGCAAACCGTCTGCGGCAGACGCACAAACAACGAAGGTAGCAGGCCTCGGCAGAACACTATAAACTTAAAGAACTAAAAAATTGCCCTCAGCATTCCTCTAACAGTATACGGAAGAGGAATGTAAGCAGTATTGATCATCAATCCTCGTCTGATAAGTGTCGACTGATATAAAATGTTAAGTGACAGCTATAACAGATTTGTGAGGCCTTGAGAGATCATCATAACAATTACATTGGAGAGTTAGCTTTTCGGAGACAGGTCAAATAGTTGACGGCAAGCCTCGAAGATCATATGACCGTTTTTCGGGTAGGCATTGAAGCGACAGTGACTACCCATATGCATCGAATCAGCGAGGTCCTGGAGGCAGTCGCCATCAACAACACCCAACGAACTGGTCTGGAGCTTATAGGATTCCCGCAGAGCAGTACTGCGATTAGTGGTTCCGGATATAGATTTCATGTAATCGAATTCGCAACCATAACATATGTTATCATGAAACGTATTTTCCAATTCAATATCGGCCACCAAACGCTCCTTAGTCAATTCCTTAACGGTCATGGTGCAGAAAATCGAGTAGTCTTTATTATGGCCTTTGTACTTCTGGTAGGTCTTCATATAGGAACCTGCTTGAACCAGTGGTGCACCATAGGCCAACAGTTGGATCAACACGATAGAAGATATGATCATTATGATAATCATAATATGATTTGCTTAGATGTCTCTGATGACAAATGGAGGTGACTCAGGGAGTGGTGACGATTATGGGTAGAGGGGAGTTGCAAAAATCCTGACGAGACCAAAATCCATTTCTGTTGAGTATGCGGCAGATTGCCGACGGCAGTGATAAAAATCAACAAATCTCGTCGATGGAAGAACTGAGATCGCTTTGAGGAATGCGAGCCACTCCGAGCGCGTTCCTCGTCGTCCAGCACAATCGCTGCGATAAGTCTTTGATGACAGAATGCACGAGAGGAGCTAGTCGACCTCATCAAGAAGCAGACGGCGCCTACTGAAATACCATGTCGAGAGCACCTACATCAACGTGCTTTTGAATTTGGAAACCGTGTTGACCTACCAGAATGACGTGAAGCTTTTGGCACATCGAGCCTATGCAAGCTGAGGTGCAGCAGCTGCACGGCAGCTCAAACCAGTTACGGGACAGCCTTCATACGATGTCTTCGCGGTTACTCATGCCATTCTCGAGATATTGGGCCAAGAGCTGCAGGAGGCCCAGCTTATCGTGTCGGAATCCCGAAATAGAACACCTGTACTTATCGTTGTGCGCTTCATTCAAGCGTGCCAGCGGAGCGACTGATGTCATATTTGTGGCAAAGGGATCTGCTACATTAAAGGGGCCCTTCAGAAAGGCTTGATGCAGTAACCTCTAACTGTATCATTCTGTGATGCTTTGTAACGCTAGTCGCGCAGTAGGCTAGGAACATTCCAGTAAAACTGTGATAACTGGTGTCCCCGGAGCATTGTGCGGCTGTCTCTATTTCGATGGCTATCGGGTAGATTTCGTGCGCGGATGTTGTCACGATTTGGCCTTTTAGAGTGCCTCAATGCGATGCAACTCAACTCGACGAGATAACATGGCAAGAAGACTTCCAAAGATTAATATTCTCTTCTTCTCTCCCTCTCTTCAGTCGTAGACCACAAAAATCTGATCTGCCTCGGAAATAGGAATACAGGATCCACAATCTGACGACGCATACCACTAATAGTGGTTGATAATATCAACTTGATACGTGGATGACTACGTGAAATATTACCTGGTAAAATTTACCACACTTGTTTTCATTTACTCCTGTGTTGAAAATCTCGCCCATGATATCGGG